AAATAAACCTTTCCTCTTACAAACTGACAGTCTCAGGTGTTTCGCTGCAGTGATGGGAAGCTGACTGACACAGTACCCCTTAGTAGTCACTCCAGAGTCATTACTTTCCTCCTTTTGCCTGGGGATGTCTCCAACCAAGGTCTGGAGCCAGAAGTCCCAGCTGCCTGAACACACGCATTTGCGAGCCATCGCCATCTTCCCAGTGAACAATGAGAAGGCCAGGTGTTCCTGCTGGCCCAGGAGCAGTGCCTTCAATGAGGGAGAACTGCCTTTTCTCCCTCCTGCCCTGCTCCATCTTCCATGGCTGCAGAACTGCTAGAACCCTTCAACAGGGTGGGGCGGGGGCCACTTTCTAAGCAGTAGCATTGCTGTGATCTTTCTTTGTCAAGGATGGGAGCAGGAAGGAGAGAGGAAAGACCCATATCACTCCCTCCTCTGCCTTCCCTTAGTGGCCACTTCCTTGCTAGAAACAGGCACTGAATAGTATAAGGAAACTCAAACTGAAAAAAATCTTGAGGGAGAAATCATAACACATCATGGGGTGAGGAGGGAAGGAGGAGGGCGGGAGGGAACAGGTAGCACTGCCAAGTTCTCAGTCATTGCTAGGTTCTTAAGACTACTTCCTGTCTTTGCGTGACCAGTTTCACCTTGCAGGTTCCCGTAAAGCACCTGGTCCGATCTGTTACCTAACAACCAAGTCAGCGTTATCTTACCCATTTTTTGCCCTCTAAAGTGAACACAGGGCCAGGATTAAAGCCCAGACCACTGAGCCAGCAACCACGTCTGAGTCATTCCCAGAAATCAGGAGCCACCACTGGGGAACACTACATGTTATACTCTTCAAGCAACTAACAGCAGCACCGACCACCACAATGAAGCTTAAAATCTCCTTCCTCCTTTTGTTGCTGCCACTAATGCTGATGTCCAGCGTGTCTAGCAGCCCAACTTCAGGTAAAAATTTCATTTTCCTATGAAGGGGGAAAGGGTTAAAAAAAATATGGCAAAACAGGCTGTACGTGTGTTGAAGTATAGCCCCGTGAGCTATAAAGATTTGGGAGAAGATAGTCTTTCTCAGGGCCAGTTTCAGGAGGAAACTACATACACTACAGGGTGCTGTGTCATTTGAGAGCGGCATTGTACAAGAGGGGACAACTATAGCTTGGTGTGCATGCACACATATGCGCGTGTGCACACATGCACACACACACACACACACACACACACACATACACACACACACATGGTCCACCAGGATGTGTTCTCTGACCTTCTCCCCAACTCCCTTTCTAGAACAGTGATGAATTTCCCCGAGCCCATCTGCTTTATGCTACACTACACACAGCACCAGCAGTTTCCAATGCTATTTAATGGGAATGTAACAGAGAGGAGAAATCCTGTCAGCAGCCCACACCCCTGTGGACATGCCAACCACAGCAACCTCTGGGCCTCGGTTAGTGCTTCTGAATTTGCTCCAGGTTGCACCACAGCCAAGGGGCCCAGATCTTCACAAAACAGCCGCATAGAAGTGAGATCACCTGTGTATATATTTCTATTTGAGAGCACCAACCTCCCAGGGCTACTGTGACCTGCAATAGCTTGTAACATGCAAAGCATCAGCTTGGTCCTAAAATCAGGAGAAGTTGCACCCTATTCCGTCCTAAACTGAAACTTCACCTCCTTTTAAGAAGTCACCGAATCCCGCAGCCCTAGGACCTAGCCCGCCCCTTGGGAAGGGATATCTTTCCCACCACTGTAATAGACACCAGCGCTGCAGCCCCCAGCCTGGGTGCAAGGCCTGAGCCCCCTCCTGCTTCCCCATTTCTCCC